CATTTTGCAGACAGAAACAACTGAATACCAGCAATTTCTTATGGTTCAATCGTTGCCCAGGGTCTGAATGTAGACAAGTACACTGGTCAGTTCTATAGGAGTCCTATGAATTCTGAGTTTAGATATTGATTGACTCTCATTCCAGTAGCCTTGAGCATTTAATTTTCCTGATATCAGTTTTTTAATCTGTGAAATGGAGAGAATAACACGCTATCTTCTGTTCTCATGAATGTACATTATTATAACAAGTCGTGAGCCTTTGTTTGCTATTCAGATCCACCGATCTGACAATTATTAATATTACAGATTGTTATTACTGTGGATGTATTTTCAGCTTGAAGTCATGGCTGGCTTTCTTTGGCAAGCAGTTTTCTAATGCAACTTTTTACAGGTATATGAGTCTGCGGTTGGAAATTTGGCTTTTTTGCAAGAAACTGATTTGTAATCCTTACTGCCAGTCTTTTCTTCACCCCTAGTCTGTTCAAAGGAATCATTGATCAGTTTTCTGTCACTGCAGATTAGTTTGAATTTTCTAGGATTTTATATAGATTGAATTATTCTTTACACACATTTTTGTCTTGCTTCTTTCACCTGCATTATTATTACTTTGAAAGAAGCAAATTATTTTGAGATTCGTTCATGTTATAGCATGTGTCAGTAATATTTCCTGTTTTGTAGCCAAGTAGTATTCATTAAGGAGCCCTGGTGGTACAATGGTTAAGTGCTTGGCTGGTGAGTGCTAACTGATAGATCATGACTGGAACCTATCAGCAATTGAACTCACCAGCCCTGCAGGTGAAAAGATCTGGTGATCTGTTCCCATAAAGATTTCAGCCTAGAAAACACTATAGGGCTGTTCGACTCTGTCATATAGGATGACTATGATTTCAATCAACTAATGGCACATCACCACTACTACCATAAGTATTCTATTATATTTGATCATCAATTCACTTGTTGATGGACATGTGCATTCCTTCCAAATTTCATGGTGCTATACAAATAAAGGGGCTCTGGTAGCATAGTGCCTAAGGCACTTGACTACTAACCAGAAGGCTGGCAATTCAAACTCATCAGCCACTCCTCGGAAGGAAGATTGGGCAATCTCCTTCTGTAGTGATACTGCCTCAGAAACCCAAGGAGGGATCACTATGAATTGGATCCAACTCGGTGGCAGTGAGTTTGGTTTGCTTTATACAAATACAGCTCCTATGAAATTTCATCTCTCTCTCTCTCTCTCTCTCTGTGTGTGTGTATATATATACATGAATGGACTTGATGACGCTGGGTTTTTTGGGGGGGCTTTTGGGTAAATGTCTGGGAGCAGAAAGACTGAATTGTTTGGTAGATAGGTGTTTAACTTTTTAAGTTTTAAGAAACTATCAAACAGTTTTCTAAAGTGGTTGAACTATTTTATATTCCCACCAGTAGTGTATGAGAGTTCTAGTTTCTCCACATCAGCACCAATACTCGTATGGTCAATCTTTTAAATTTTAGCCATTTAGCTCCATGCAGGGTCCAAGTGTGCCCAAAAAATGCAGACACCTTTGTCAAAGATGCTTCTTACACACTGGAAGCAGCCCACATCCCCAAGACAGCTACTCAGCTGCTGCAGTAGATTCCACCGTGGAGCTGATTACCAATCTCACAATGGGAAATAACGACATCCAGCTGCTCAGTCACTCAAATCCAGGTCTAGTCAAGCTGACACACAACTTAACTACCACACCATCCATATATCTTTTTTGGTGAAGCATTTATTCAAATCTTTTTCCCATTTCATTTTAAATTGTGTTGCTTGTTTTCTTATATTTGAGTTTTGAATATATAAATTCTCTGTACAAGTCATTTGGGAGCCCTGGTGGTGTAATGCCTAAGGCATCTGACTGTTAACCAGAAGGCTGGAGGTTCAAATACACCAGCCACTCCTCAGAAGGAAGACTGAGCAATCTACTTTTGTAGAGATACCACCTCAGAAACACAAGGAGGGGTCACTATGTGTTGGAATGGACTGCACGACAGTGAGTTTTTTTTTTTTTTTTTTTAATAAATACAAGTCCTTTATCAGATAGGGAGCTCTGGTCGCACAGTGTTTAAGGCATTTGACTGCCAACAAGAAGGCTGGCAGTTCAAACCCACCAGCCACTCCTCAGAAGGAAGGTTTAGCAATCTACTTCCATAGTGATACTGCCCTGGAAACCCAAGGAGGGGTCGCTATGAGTCAGATTTGACTCAACGGCAATGCGTTTGGTTTTTTGGTTTTATCTGATATAGATGTTGCAGTTACTTTCTCCTAGTCTGTCCCATTGTTGGCTATCTTTACAACAATACTATGCTGCTTTGATTACTATAACATTGTAATAAGTCTTGAAATAAAGTAATGTTAGCATTCCAACTTTCTTAATTTTTAAAATGAAATTCATTCATGTGAATTCAATTAATTTTGTCACAATCCAGGTTTAAGGCACTTTAATCACTCCCCAAATTTTTCTTGTGTCCATTTGTTGTCAATTGCTGCTTCCACTCAAAGCCTCAGGCATTGATGATGTTGTTTTTATCTTTATACTTTTGACTCGCCAAGTGTGGTAGTTAAGGTTACGTGTCAGCTGGGCTGGGCCTGGTTTTGAGTGGCTGAGCAGCTGGATGTAGTTATTCCCCATGATGAGACTGGTCAACTCTATGGTGGAATTTACTGGAGCAGCTGAGTAGCTGCTTTGGGGATGTGTTCTGCTTCTAGTAGGTCAGGAGCAGCATTAAGAAAGGTCTCTGGAGCTTTTTGACATGCATGGACCCTGCATTTGGTGAGTTTTCATCTCTGGCCTACCGTGCTATTTGCCTATCTTGAGACTGTTTCTGGACTTGAACTACTAGCCTGTCAGTATTGCTTGATATTTTGGGACTGTGCCATTTCATTTGTTGACCTTGGGGTTGTCAGCCTCAGCAGTTAGCAGCTGCCTGAGTTAAGAGACACCTTCAGCTCCAGTGGGCTAGAAGCAAGAGGCAGAGCTAAAACCCAAGTTCGAGGGGCTTTCACCCAGTCCCTAAAGCTGGCACTTTGAACTCATACTTCTAGCCTCCTAAACTGTAAGAGAACAAACTCCTGTTTGTTTAAAGCCATACACCAGTGGTATTTCTGTTAGAGTGGCACAACATAACCAAAACAGCAAGAAATTATAATCATAAACTGAATCTATTTATCTATCAAATTTCTGACTTCTTTCATTTAGCATAATGTGTTTGAAGTTTGCCTCATGTTGTAGCATACATCTGTGGTTTCTTTTATTTGAATAGTATTTTTTTTATATATGCCACCATTTACCAGTTAGTGGAGATTTGGATTGTTTCTAGGTTTTGCTCATAAAGCTTTTATAAATATTTGCATACAAATCTTTTTTTGTGTGTGTGAAAAAAGAGGTTAGAAATTTCTAGAGTGGTAATTTTAAACTTCAATTGTATATTTTTAATCACCTTGTGACTTTTGCAAAACTTAGTCCAGTAGAATTAGAATACATTGGATTGAGCATACATGTTTTAAAACGTTCCCCAGGTAGCTATGATGCTTAAAACCAAACCAAACACTCTGTGGTCGAGTCGGATCTGACTCATGGTAATCCCTCCTTGGGTTTCTGAGGTGGTATCAGTCCGGAAGTAGATTGCCCAACCTTACTTCCGAGGAGTGGTTTCTAGGATAGGTATGTGTGTGTGTATGCGTTTGGGGTGTGTGTGTCAGTGTGCAGCTGTGGGGGTGATGGTGTGGAGTGGGCAGGCAGAAGGTTCACATCAATCAGCAATATCTGTCCTGGAGTTGCAATACAAATATTTTGGAAACTTTTTTGTTTTTAAACATATTGCTGCTTATAAATAATTTCAGATGAGAGCACTCATAAGGAATTCTTTAAACAGCAATAGTTAATATATAACATACACCATCTAAATTTACGCGTGGAAATAGAACAGAATGCACATGAGGAATCTGAATATGTATCAGTTTCCATAATTATTTATCCATTCTTTGGCACGGCTCTGGGGCACAGGTGAAGCAAGGTATCTTTCTTCTGGGTAACAAATTTACAGCCTGTTAAGCTGCGCTTTCTTACCTGCACTGACCATGATGCTATAATGAAGACTTCACCTGCAAAAAGGACAGAAAAGGAGAAATCAAAATCCAGACATGAAACTTTATTTACAGAAGAGTGGTACTGGGGAAGAGACCTCAATTCTTGCTTAACTGAAGAAAAGCACCGAAAGACATGGGAGAGGATGTGAAGAGAATTTCATAAAAACACGTATTAAGAGCCTTGGTGGTGTAATGCCTAAGGCATTTGCCTGCTAACCAGAAGGTTGGTGGGTTTGAACCACCAGCCACTCCTCAGAAGGAAGATTTGGCAGTCTACTGCTGTGGTGATGTTGTTGTTGTTGTTATGTGCCGTCGAGTCGGCCCCGACTCATAGCGACCCCTCCTTGGGTTTCCGAGGCTGTGGTGATACCGCCTCGGAAACCCAAGCAGGGGTCACTATGAGTTGGATCCGACTTGATGGCAGTGAGTTCCGTTTTATGCTTTTTGTTTTTTTAAGGAGAGAAACGGCGCTTCTTTGAGATAAGGAAGATTTCTTGTGTCTTCCACCTCGGCTGTTCCTCCTCCCAGATGGTCCCCATTCTCCGCCCCTGCCCCTCCCCGGACTTCAGCGCTAGGTTAGTGGACCGGGTGGGCGGGGTAGCCTCGCAGCTTCAGCTCCTCTCGAGGCTAAGGCTCTGCAAGTGCAGGGGCATTCACTTTGGGCGGCGATCTGGGCGTCTGAGCTTCTCGCGTCTCCTGCTTCGGGACGCTGCAGTCCCCAACTCACTGAGGGAAGAGTGGAAAACTTTGTTGGTGGGTGGGTGGGGGGCAGCGCGCCGGCCACCGGTCCCCCGCCCTCCTGCACCCAGCAGCAGGATTAGCTGTGGACAGCGCGAACAGAGCTGGCTTTCCTGTTTTAACCGTCGCCAACAACTTCTCCGGAATGGAGCAGTCACAGTGTGGCAGCGGCAACCGCGGCGGTAGAGGCAGATCCCAGCTGGCCCCGGGGCTGGGGGCGGCTGTCCCTCTGCCCCCATCCCCAGCTTTGTCAGGGTCTCCGGGGATGCCTGTTCCTCCAGCTTTCCTCCGGCCTCCAAGCCTTTTTCTGCGGGCAGCCGCCGCCACCGCCGCTGCCACCGGGAGTGGAGCCTGCCCACCAGCGCCTGGGTTGGAGAGAGGGATGGCGGTGGTGGGCTGCGGCTACCCGCGGACCCCCAAGTGCGCTCGCTGTCGCAACCACGGCGTGGTGTCAGCGCTCAAGGGCCACAAGCGCTTCTGCCGCTGGCGGGACTGCGCTTGTGCCAAGTGCACCTTGATTGCTGAGCGCCAACGCGTCATGGCCGCCCAGGTGGCGCTGCGCAGGCAGCAGGCTCAGGAGGAGAGCGAGGCCCGCGGGCTGCAGAGGCTCTTATACTCTGGACCCCCGAGACCAGGAGGTCGGACATCCCGAGGCAGCGCTGGAACCCAAGACCTCCAGGCAGCCAGTGTTCCTGCAGCGGTGGCTGCACTGGGACCGGGAGCCTTGAGGCAGCAGGCTAGTGGTCTGGCGACTCCCGCTTTTGAAGTTTTCCAGCCGGACTATCCGGAAGGAAAACAAGGTAAGTTGGTCTTTCATTCCTTCTTTGTATAACAAAAGGTTGCTGTGGGCAAAAACTCTTTGAAGCCAGCAGCCGTGCCATGGAGCTTTGAAACAAGACGTTTATGTGAAGCAATTTAAGTTTTGGAAAACTAAGCAAAATCTTCACTTGGAAGGGCGGCTGTTTGTTTCCTAAAGCAGATAGGCTAAGGCAACCAACGGGAAGCGCTGACGAGCAATTCAAAGAATGGAGTCGTTTGCGTGAAGTTGGTATAAAGTTTCTGCCTGAGTAGAACTCCAAGCGGGCGTTGAGTTGAAAGGTCACTCAAGGAGAGGTGCTGTGTTTTGAGCTTTCCTGTAGCCTGTTTTCAGCTATAAAACCAGAGTTAATCCTCCGATCTTCCTTGGGGAACACTGATGGATGGGTATGTAGCTTCCAAACAAATCTTTGGCGCCAACCAGAAATAGCAAAAAAGCCTTGGTGACTTAGAGGTTAAACACTCAGTTAACCGAAAGGTGGGCGCTTCGAACCCACCCAATGACTCCGCAGGAGAAAGACCTGGGATTTACTTCTCTAAAGATTGTTGTTGTTGTTGTTATTTGCGGTCGAGTCGGCCCCGACTCATACCCGACTCATAGCGACCCCTCCTTGGGTTTCCGAGGCAGTATCACTACGGAAGTAGGATTGCCCAACCTTCCTTCCGAGGAGTGGCTGGTGGGTTTGAACCGCCAGCCTTCTGGTTAGCAGTCAAGTGCCTTAGCCACTATGCTATCAGAGCTCCCTCTCTAAAGATTATACTTAAAAAAGAAACAAACCTATTGGGGGCAGTCCTGCTTTGTCACATGGGGTCGCTAAGGGTCAAAAATCGGCTCTAGGGCACCCAAGAACAACAAAAGTAGGGAGGAGACTGAAACTTAACAGTTTTTCCCCACCCTTGCCTTTAAATTTTTAAGCATCTCCACCCCCGTTTGTGTATGTGATCAACTTTCCGAAGTGTAGAACACTCTAATAGTTAAAGTTTCAACTCAAGTCGGGGCTTTCTCATCCACGGAGATTTGATTTTTTTTTTCCTCTTATTTATTGACTGCAAATTACAACCCCCCCCACGTGTTTCACTGTTGAAAGTTGTTGTTGTTATGTGCCATCTAGTCGGACTGACTCATGGCAACCCCTCTTCGGGTTTCCGAGGAGATATCACTA